TAAGACTTTCAATCTACTTTCTAGCATTTCCTTGGAAGTTATTTCTCCATTTCAGTAGAGCCATTGTGCAATTTGCTACTTTCCTATGCAGTTAATACATATTAGAGCCTATTTGCTCCTCCTCCCAAGCCTGCTTTACTACTTGTTCCCGTCCATCTTTTTTCATCCATCTTCTATCAAAGAGGAATCGTTTCTTTCTCTTCTCCTTCAGAGGGTTGGAGTCTAGTAAAATCATGCTATGGTCTGAGCTAAAGTTTTCTATGTGTTTGACTATTGTTCTGTAAAAAATTTGGCTCCAAGCACAACTTCCCAGCGCTCTATCAAGCCTTTGTTTAATTTCACCTTCTTGAGCCCAGTGGTTACTCCATGTCCAGGGATTGCCTTCAAAGCCTAGGTCAATGAGTCCATTTTGTTCAATGAAATTCCTAAAGTCTTTGAAGGTTCCCTCCCTCTTTCTACCTCCCCCCCCCCCCCAATTTCTCTTGGTTTGATATAATGTCATTGAAGTCACCAGTAATCATCCACCCAGGACCCCATAATTCCTTTCTTCTCTCCACAACTTCCCATTGATTCCTCCTGATTTGATCATCAGTACTCGCATAGATTCCTATGATCCACCAGTCCACATTAGGTCTCTGTGTCCATTATGTGGACTTCCAAGTGAAGTCAGTAGTTCTGACCTCCATAGTGAAGACATTTCCGCCATATGATGTGTTGCTTTGTTCCTTTTTTGAAACGTCAACCTGAAAACTTGGAAAAAAAATCTGAACTTCCTTTATCGAGTATGAGCTAACTTTCAGGTTAAAGAAAACATCATAAGCTGATGCTCTAGAGTTTTTTCAAGCGAATGTAGGCAAAAGAATTAACCTAAGAAAGCTACAGCATGCTTATTGAGTTTTATATTCAGCAAAGAAGTAGTTTGCATAACTATAACCTGGCAATGGCATGGAAAAAACTCATTGGTGTATTGAGAGGATTAGACAATACTCTAGCTTATATCTCAAACTTTTAGCATCGTCCTACAAAAGATGATGTTTGAGCATCAGTTGTGCGTAGAAGAATTCGTGACTAATGTTCTACGGGTTCTTGAAATCAATTTGAATATACTTTCTTTGTTCAAGTTTCCCTAGCAAAATCTTTGAAGTTGATGTTTTATCTTCTTCAGTGTTGTGACGACATCGATTTGTTAATCCTATCTCTTGGAGTTACAGCTCCAGCTTCTCTGTGAAATACTCATCTTCTGGCCCAAGTAAGTTGGTATCTATGACCTGAAATGTTGTGTCAGGCAGAGAATCTTCCATCCAGCGCTTTAGGCTCATATCTCCGGAACACATCATCACCTGGCTTCATTCTTGTGAATGTTTCCATCAAAACTATGCCAAAACTCTACACATCACTTCTTGTTGACAGTAGACCTTCAAGTCCATACTCCACAATGTTAAATTAAGGCAAGTATCATAGTTGGAAAAGAAAATGGGAGAGAGAAGGACTACTATGGAAAGAGGGAAGGGAAAATAGAGGGGTCACCATTGAGGTACGAGGAAAAGAGAGAGAAGGAAGAAGAGAGATGAGTCATGGACATGGTAGAAAGCTGCGAGGGACCAAGGGAAGAAAAGATGGAGGGAGAGAGAATGACGCGAGAGAAAGGGTGTAGAAAGAGCAAAATATTAATTTTTGAATCATGCACATGGATTAAATTTGGGAATCCACCAAAGCCTCCCAATTTATTAGGAACTAAGAACTCCAAAATTTTAGTAATTCATTCCAAAATTTTGAATCCAATACCTGTAGCCCAAACACCTCTCACCAAACGGCTAGGTAGATGGCTTGGGTAATAATTGCATATTCAAGGTATGTATACTATACAAGACAGTTCGGATGTGAAATAATAATGCGAAAAGATACATATGGCCAGAGAGGTAAAGATAGTAGCACCATGACAACGATTTATCTGTTGATGACATGTTGACAAACACAATATGAGAACAGGGATAATGATGATTGAAAGACTTGGAGGCATGTATTCACTTTTTTTTTAAGGTGTTATTTTATGAGAACAGGGATAATGATGTTCAAGGCGTCTATTATAAGCAACTTTTTTCGTTAAAGAATTCGGTTGATGATTGATAATGGTGGGAAATGGATCCGGGCGGTGCCTCTACGTACACTCTATCTAACTATCTTGCGAGTGTAGAGGCCAATTAGACACCTAGTTTGGATCTGGCGCTGGCAGGGCAGACTCTTTAACAAGACGACCAAACTTGCAGCCTGTAACGAGTCAGCGAGAACAAATTAAATGCTCAATTTTCCAATAGTTGAAACTTGAAAGACAATTGGACTGCTAAATTATTTCACATCATATTTCGCTTGCATTATAAATATATTTCTCAATTTATTTTTTTTTATATTTTTAACTATCTTTTTATTTCACATGCACCATATCATAAAAGTGCTATAATAATTATTCCAAATAATATTTCAAATAATACTCTATCTAAATACACTTCTTTTCTTCCTTCATCAAGTACCTTTATCTAACGGTTGTGGGTATTTGATTTTTTTTTTCTTATTTATCAGACCATTTATGCTAGATGGATAATCCCACATCTTAATGTTTTTCCACCCTTTCGAAGTTATATTAATGTTTAGAGCACTCTTTTGGCATTTTTGTTGTTTCATGAGCATGCATTAAAGAAGGAAAAAATTTATAAAACACTAGTGCTCAAAGCACACCTGATTTGCAGGTAATAAATAATTTATTTGCAAAAATTATTTTGATGATAAAAAATGAAAGAAAATTTTAAAAAGAAAAAAGAAATCAGAAATTATGAAAAGAAGTGAGGGTAACAGAAAAAACTTTGCACTTTAGGGGGTATTTTATCTATTTCGTGAATACAAGGGATGAACTGAAACCGTTCTCTAATTAAGGAAAATGTATTTAAGCCTATATTATATTCACTTTATAAAATTAATATGAACTAAACGAAAGAAAACAATTGTACTAAATGCAAAACTAAATTTCACACACACACACACATACATATATTATACATATAATCAATTTTGCTTATAATTTCTCTATCTTCTCATAACTTTTATCTCTTTAATAAATTTGATTTATTCCTTTCATCCATACATAGTGAACCTGCTTAGTGTGAATTTAATTACTAAATTCATAAATTTACTAATTTTGATAGAAACTGATAATTCACTCATGAGACAATAGATTGCTAAATTTTTTTGTCTTTAACTGAAAATGAATATGAGTAGGTGTATAATTATTGTAAAGTTCAATTATCATCTCAAAGAAAACCAAACATATTATTTCTTTTTTCTATGTTTTATATTAATTAATAAATATTATAACATTGTAATAAGTTTACGAATAAAAGTTCCTAAAGACTAATATGCATGTAAACATGAATAATACGTTAACATATTACTTAATTATTTATGGCTTGCATCAATTCATAAATAATCACAAATAAAATTTATATTGTGTTAATGCACAAGCTAAAATTTATGTATGTATACACACACACACAGACATACACACACACATGAGTTTGGATATGTCTGGTATGGATTTGAATTTGGATATGAATCATAGAAAATCAGATCCTACCCAAATCATTGACTCTCTTATAGGGTCTGGTAGAGTTTGAATTTGAGACATTAAATCCAAACCCTACCCAAGTATATTGAATCTGAGTTGGATTTGAATAAGATCCGATCCATTGATATACCTGATCTGCATTTGTCAATCTTTCTTTTGCCACCTTAGTTAAAATAATAATGAATGGGCCAAGATTGGCCCAAAAAAATAAGCATCTTTGCAAAATCACATACTGATTCGGGGCTAAGTTTGGCCCAAAATTTCAAAATTCAAAATAAACTTGTTACATAAAGGTGAAAAGGAAAGTCAAGTGTCCAATTGTGATTAACGAGTGTACGTATCGTTGTAAGTGATGTACAATTTTACCCCATGGATACAGTCATTACTGCCCGTGGGAATGAGTTTACAGGAGGTAATCCCTCCTCTCCACTAGTTACTGTTGAGGCCAAACAGCTGCAAAATCACAAGTATTTTAATTGATAGGACATCTACTTTCTAAATATCAAGGGAGGTCCTATAATAGTGACTAACCTATGTGGAGGTCAATAATCAATTTAACTATTCCTAACTGTTACTAAGATTAGCTACTGAAGCAACATTCGATACCTTAACTGCAACTTCGGGAGAGGCAATTCTCTGCTCAGCCTCAGGCTGAGGATCAGGATCGTCTCATTTTACAGCTTTACCCCTTTTACTCTAATATTTTAAAGCAACAGTTTTAGTCATACCGCATAACAAATCACCTAATCTAAATTGCTAATTATCTAGATTTGATGCCTTAACTGTAACCCCTAGAGGCAAGTTTTGCTGTCCAAATGGATCGCATCTCAAATTTTGGAGTTAATTTGCTTTTCTATCTTACAATTTAAAGACAGTTTAGATCATGCTACTTGAGACGTGACCTGATATGAATCGTTAATTATTTATTACACTTATTTCTATGAACTCTAGATTCTCGTAACAAGAAGGGATCTCGCCTGAGGGCATTTAGTGTTCGCATCTCAATCTTACAAATTACTTGCAACCTCAAAAAAGGCAAATACATTTCACCATAAACACTTTAGACCAAAAACAATTCATAAACTTCTAGAAAAAGAAAAGAAAATTGCAATCTAAAGATTTGCTATTGGCATATTTTTTTTTTAGTGGAAAGCCACAGAAGGGCTTAACTTTCACCAAATTATGGGTGTAAGAACCGATTAAGGTCGAGTAAATAGTTTGAGGACTAAACGTGCTTTTAATTGAAAAGTGAAAGGACTAAATATGCCATTTCCCTTATTAAATATTGCTCCACTCAACTCGACCGGTTCAATTTTGCCCCACAAAATAGACCCGGTGCCCGGTCCATGCAATTTTACAAATATAACCCAAAAACCCCAGGGAGCCCTAATTTCCCAAAATCTCTACAATCCTCTGTCTCTCACTCTCCGGTCACCGGCAAAAGCCCTCTTCACAACTCCTCCGGCTCCGGCCATTGACGGTACAATTTCCACGCCCCTCTACCAAATTAAGCTTCTTTATCTGTAATATTCTCATTTTTAACATGTTTTTGCAGCAATGGTGGGACTTTCCGTTGGAGAAAAGCATTTTATCAAGGGAGGCATTGAACAGGACCTCCGTACTGACGGCCGAAAACGCTACACTTATCGGCCCATTTACGTTGAAACAGGTGTCATCCCTCAGGCAAGGGTTTTTCCATTCATTTTACTTTGTTTTTTTTTTTCCCTAACATAATCTTAGAAATTCTTTTTTGGAGCTAAATTTTGTGTTTTAAGTTTGGGTTTTCTTTTACTATAGGCTAATGGTTCAGCTAGAGTTAAGCTTGGTGCCACCGATGTTATCGCGAGTGTTAAGGTGGAATTTTTTATTTTTGGGTTTAAGTACTGGTTCTGTTTTGTATGTGTTTGGGATTTTTGAATTGTACATTTTGGGTGGTGATGTTGGGATTTTATGTGAGTTGTCAATGTGTAATTCTAGGCTGAACTTGGAAAGCCGAGCCCATCTTATCCGGATAAAGGGAAGGTATTAATCAACGTGGATTGCAGTCCCACGGCTGAGCCAGCATTTGAGGTGATATTCATGTATTCTTTGTAGTTCTGAGTAAACATTTTTTCTTTTTAATAACAGACAGATATGACACATATAGCGGATAATAACTATGAGCACTATAAAAGCAACATGGAGATCCTGCAGAAAGTTGAAACAAAATGTTTTTTTTTTTAGCTTTTTGTGCAAACATAAAATTTTTTGGCATTTTGTTATTGTATCATGAATCTTTAGGTTGGTTATGTTGTCTTGAAACTCTTGGATGTAACTGAAACTTCATTTCCTGTTTTTGAGCTTATGATTGCATTTAACACTACTAGGTATTTCTTCTTGTTCTATGAATCTTGAGGTTAACAATGAAGGGTAGTGAAGCCCTGGTTTACTTCCTTTGTATGTTTAAATTGACAATGAAGGGTAGTGATGCCATCTATTTTTGTGTTTAGTTGCCTGCTTGTAAGCAATGCACAGCTAGGTTTACTACTTTAAGTAGGTGACTGTGTCTTTCGATAGTGAGCAGAAACACTGGAATTTCTTTGCATTAACATAATAGCTGTGCCGAATGCCATATGGTAGATACTTAATTTATCCTCCATTTGGATTGTTAGCAGTTTTCTTTATGATCTTCTTTCATGTAGGGTAGAGGAGGGGAAGAGCTGTCGTCAGAACTCTCAGTTGCTCTTCAGCGCTGTCTCTTGGGTGGTAAAAGTGGAGCAGGTAAACATGCGAAGAAGCAAGATCAGTCCATCAAGGGATGCAATTTGCTGAGGTACTCTGTCTTGTTTAATTAATATGGGGCTCTTAATTTTCTTTGCTTTTTCAGGGGCTGGAATAGATCTCTCATCTCTTTCCATCGTTGAGGGGAAAATCTGTTGGGATCTTTATATAGAAGGTCTTGTTGTTAGTTCAGATGGGAATCTGTTAGATGCCTTGGGCGCTGCAGTCAAGGTGCATTTATACATTTGATTTATTTGATTAATGAACTGCAGTTCAAAGGTCTATATATATATATATATATATATATAGTTTTTTGGCAATGATGAATTGACTGGTGACTGCAGCTTTTGACTTTGTTTACCAATGCGGATTAATCAATGCTTGGTGGCAAGAAAGAAGCTTAGACACTGCTTTTGAAATCCTAGATTAAATCGATTAGACCTGTTTGATGACTACATCTTTTCATGAAGTTTGATTTTCATTAAAATAATTGATTTTTAGGCTGCTCTGAGCAATACAGCTCTTCCAAAAGTCCAAGTGGCTTCAGCTGCCTCTGATGAGCAGCCAGAGGTTGATTTGAGTGATGAAGAATTTTTGCAATTTGACACCAGTGGAATTCCTGCCATTATAACTCTGACAAAGGTGAAAGAATAATATTTTCAGGTACTAGTTATCCAAATTATAACATTATCTGTAATTCAAATATCTTCCACGGAAAATTTTGCAGGTTGGTAAGCACTACATCGTGGATGGAACTTCGGAAGAAGAATCTCAGATGAGCTCAGCTGTCTCTGTTTCTGTGAATAAGCAAGGGCGCATATGTGGGCTGACAAAGCGAGGGGGTGCAGGCCTAAATCCATCTGTCATACTTGACATGATCTCTGTTTCTAAACATTTAAGTGAGCAGCTGATAAATAAGTTGGATTCCGAGATAGCTGCAGCAGAAGCTTGTGAAGAAGATGAATTTTGACACAAAATCAAGCATCCATTTGGTATAATAGTTCAACTGTTTTGCCTTCAATATAGCTTGCTAAAGGATGTAATTTTGTAGAATTATCAGATACAAATTAACTTATAGGTGCTCAGGAAGTGATTGAGCTAATTGCAGCTGGAACTGGAAATGGCAATTATTTGCTGAACTGTAACCATGGTAAGCAAAATTTCCTAGGGGTGTAAGTTGTAGCTCGATGTTTAGTTCAGGAAGTTCAGGAAGTTGTAGCTTGATGTTTAGTATTTTGAAATTGATGAAAGACAGGTTGTACTGCTCTTTTCAATATTATTACAAATCTGTAGATTGTCATACATCCTTTATCTGGACTTGTGAATTTGTAGATGGTGGTGCTTTCTTATCCTGGATATGGAGTAAAGTTATCTATATGGGCCAAAAGAAAGAAGTCTGTTGAGAGTCAAGAATGTCTTTCGTACTATTTGGCATATATCAGAATCTCATCCGTAATAGGCACAGGAAATTCTTCTTTGAACCAGGAGTATTTTGTGTCTGGCAGAGAGCATATCAGCAGAGCACGTTGGTTTTTCATTCACCAGGCCATGAGCGACAGCATGACTTTTTATATTTACAGGCTTATAATAATGCTGAAGCCAGAAAAGTATTCCTGTGTTCTGTTTCATACGTGGGTTGTGTCTGCTGCCTCAGGAGTTTTTCTGCCTATCAATCATGAGATCCATATCCATGATTTCATGGTTACACTAGATTAGTTTCATGACCATAAAAAAATAGTCTTATTATTCTTTTATTTGATTCTATAATCTAACATTTGCCATTTTCTACCGAAATTTTAAAGACCTGAATCTATTTCAATTTTTGGTGCATAAAGTAACGCGATAAAGGCTCCAAATGGTCACCAATGACATTTACTTTTCCCAAAGATCAAATTTCTCCCGTGCTAAGGACCAGGCTTCGGGTATGGGTGAGCTGGAAAAGAGTGACACAACTGGCCTGATTCCTGTGTTTCTGTGGATAACAATTCGAGATTGGAAATAGTATGTGAATACGGAATCTGGTAATCATGTAACATTGGTTTTAATTGAATACAACTTAAAAACTATGGAGTTTCATTCGAATATTCCTATCTCCTTTCATGTGTCATTTTGGCATTCAAGTACATCTGCAATACAAGCTCAATTCCTTGTCAAAGCAAAAGAGCTGAAACCCGCAATAAGCTCTCTGCAATAAAGCTGAGGTTCTTAGACTTCTAGCATAGAGTTGGATGGCATAATTGAATCATCCATAGGCATTCAGTTGATCTTTATTACTCTCTACAATCAAGTTGAACTCCTTCAGGCTTCTATGTGACTTGACTGGACCAGGCATACCTTTCAAGCATGGAGATCTTTGGGAGAAACCATAGTGTTTGCTGATCTGACTGCAGCTTGTAGCCTCACTATTAATGGAGGATATGGGAGAGAGTTTATGCTTATATGGAGAATTGATCTCAGAGTAAGCATCAAAACAGATTGGTCTTAGCCTGGGTGAGCTCATTGATCTAACTTTTGCCTTAGCAGATTCTGTGGCTGCCATGTATGTTGGAACAGAAGGAGAGCCTACAAAAGAGCCCTCATCTCCATTGGAACGTTGCCGCCTGTGAAATGATCTTCTTGGAACATTTAGAGGAGAATCCAATCCTTCAATCTGATATTGTTTCTGAATTCTTAGTCTGAGTCTTCTGCCAGCTAGTTCCTCTTTGGCCTTTGCATTTTCAGGGAACGCTGTTCCTATATTGCGAAGATCTTCTCTTTTAGCCAACTGGGAATCCATCCATTGTTCTAGCCAGTATCTCTGTTTTACATTTTGCTTGCTTTGTTCTGACTCAGTGGACCTCTGAATATAGACAGTGTCATGTTAGTGATGCTATGCTATCTGGTGCCGGTAGATTTAAGCTACACTTTTAAGATTTCAGGATTCAAAGTTTTAGTTACTAACCCGATGATTTAACCAGTATTCCTTTATTCTTTCTCTCCTGATTGAAGCCACCCTCTTGTTCATGGACGATGCATTTGATTCATCCCTCGACAAAGTACTATCATCCCACCTTCTCTGGCTATTTGTATCAATCTGCAGATTTCAAGAAAATAACTAAGATTTGGGGACGAAAATAATTTAGTTACTTGGAACAAGAAGAAAGTTTCTTACTATGATACTAGATCTAGTGAGGTATTGAAAGCAAACTAAATGATATGGAACTTTGTGGATTTACTCAACTATATGTCCAACAATTCATATATATTGTGGAACTTAGAGAAGTTTCTTTTTTACTATAAGTTTCTGCCGATACCCAGTGAAACACTATCACTTTGGCGAGGTTATTGATTGATTTTACACCAGAAGAACATTTCCATCAAATTGGATCCACTGTTAACTATAAATTACAGCAAATCAGGCAAAAGTTTGAATACGTTATTAATGAGATAAAGCCCCAATATTGTCAAAAGTACAGCAGGAGGAAATGAAAGGAGAAAGGCCAATTGGCTTATGGATTATTTGTTAAACTTTGTCAACACGAAGGAATGAAACATAAGATGAACTAAATTCACCGTTAACTTACCCTTATGTCCTTCTCTGTCATGTCCTGCACTTGGTTTTCTTCATTATGCTGAGTGGTCTTCACCATATCACATCTCTTGGCACGAAACTCTGACTGAATGTTCACTATGCTTTGCAAACACTTGAGGGTATTAATGGCTTGGCGTCGAACTGCCCAACCGCGAATTATCGCCTGAAGCCTTACTAGTCCCTTCAGTGCACGTAAAGCTTTTCTAGCCTGCAAAATCCAAACAGTTCTGTCAGAAAGAAAGAAAATGATCATCCATCTAAAATGAGTTCAAATGTTTCAACTGATACTCCTATACTCGGATAATTCTTGTTGCCCAATTTAATTTGGTGTTTCACTGGTAATTTGCAGGTTCCTTATGATTTCACTTTTGATATGGGAAGTATGATAAGAGTGCTGCAGTTGGATTTGCAGATACAGAAACAGAGTGGAGAAGTTTGAAAAGAGAAGTTCAAAAAACTCACTAGATATCCGCGAAATGCTGATTGAATTTTGATAGCTGCAAGATGTTGGATCCGCAATTGGCATTGATGAAATTGTGCAGGGCTAAAGACATTGGTTGCTGAAACTTCTTGGGATTCTTTCTTGTCTTGAATGGACAATCGAGGGCTGACACCGGGCCTGAAATCTTGAGCATTAGTACGAGTGATTTCTCCAGCCGTAGTGTTAATGGTTCCATTTTCTGCATAATTCTGCTTATCTTCTTCAGGTGCACCTAGTATGCTCTTCTTTGGAGGTGGTGGTGCTGATAGAGAGGCTAATCTTTTGCTCTTAAATCTTCCAAATGCCCATCCATTTCTTTCATCCTTCTGTGAATATTGTAATTAAGCACCTTCTGAGATGTATGCAACATTCTGCAAATAAAAGAAGCAGTTGAACTCATTATTTACCTTTCTTGATTTTGTATCTGCAATGAAAATTCTCCTCAGTAGATTGAACCAGCTCTTCTTCTTCTTTGCCATGAAATACCACTAGTTTTGCATGAAATCATGAATCTCAGTGACTTCAACTAGTGATTTGATTAAAGAATTATACTTCCTAGACTGAATCTAGCAATAGTAGCAAGTAATATTTTCACGAAGAAGTTTATTGGGACTTGGTAAACGTTGCACAAATACAGCAAAGATCAACCTTGAATTTAGAGAAAACTTTGTATTTTTTATGACACCAAAGACTGGATCACCAGGAAATCTGGTGCAAACAAATGCAGGTAAAGTAGATTTTCTTGAAGGAATAAAATAATGAACCAAGACTAAGATTCATATTCTTTCATCTTTCTTCACTCCAATGATGTACATTTGCCTTCTTTCCCATGTGTGATGAGTTTCATCTATTCAACCAGTAGGGCCTTGAGCCATAAGCTGTTGGCAGAAAGGTAATGTATTTTGTATTTATGGAGGGAAACCTGTTCTATATAAGGGAATCTTTTATTATGGCTTGTTGCACCTGTCCACCTTTCATTTTTCTCAACCCATTAAATGACATGTTCATATGTTTGTTGGAAACCTGAAAACTACACTCCTATCAGTTTAGACTGGACCCTGACATATTTATTGGATCAACCTTAGCTGATTGAATCGACTCTCTTTCTTTATAGTAATTAGTTTCATAGCGACTGTGACATATACTCCAAAAAGAGATGTTACCTTAAAATTATAGATTTTTACTGAGCAACTAACAGACTGTTCTCGATGGTGTGCGTTGAATTATAATTAAATTATCCCCTTGTACTATCATTTGTTGGAAAAAACTAAGACTTTATTGCGAGGCTAGTTTGAGTGTGCTCAATGAAAAAAGGATAGTTCTCCCTGTGAGTTTAATCCCACGTCGAAGCTTAGCATGAGTGAGTAGCAAGATTTAAAGTTCTCAGGGCTTGCCTTTCAGTCAACAATTGCCTGGATGGGTAAGTCTTGTGGGTCCTCTCTTAGGTTGAGTGAGACTCTCTTTAGTGTACGTTGAGTTATAGTTAAATTATTCCCCTGTACTGTCGTTTGTTGGAGAAAACTAAGACCTTATTGCGAGGCTAGTTTGATCTTTTGTCCCATTTTTTATTATATTACTATTCCTCCTACATAAACGCCATGCTTTAATTTTTTTTTTTATTTCCTTAAGATCCAATAACTATTAACTGAATAATATACAAAATTTAACAAATCCAAAAAATCAAAATTCATAAAAAATGAGATTTTTATGAATTTTCTGCTGTATTTTTAAATTTTCTATTATATATTGCTTTTTTGAAATTGTTGTATTTATTTTTTATTCAATTAATAGTTATTGGATCTTAAAAAAATAAAAAAAAAAAAACCAAAACATGGTGTTTATATAGGAGAAATAGCAATATAATAAAAAATATGACAGAGAATAACACAGGGTGTGGGACAGAAGATCCATTGCAAAGCAATTGCCTGGACGGGTAAGTCTTGTGGATCCCTCCTTAGATTGAATGAAACTCTCTTTGATATGCGTTGAGTTATAGTTAAATTAACTCATGTACTGTCGTTTGTTGGAAAAAAAAAACTAACAGACTGCTCTCGATAGATCATTGAATACAAGTTATTGGCCTTCATTTCTAGTCTCAGCAGTTGGATTGAGTTTTTTGACCTTAAAGCCACTGTGCATCTGTGCCTTTCTTCCCTCTTCTTTTTTCCTCCTCTCCTTATGTATATGTCCATCTCAACATATATACCGAAGCTTATCCGATTTAGTGACCGTAATGCACGGTAAAGTGCACGCATTAACGTAATAGATGTAGACACTAAAATAACGTATCTAAACAGTAATAAACGTCATACAAACTTTTAATCTGATATTTATATTTTGGTGATTTAGTATTATTAGGGATTCACCAACAAAGTAGTGCCAAGTCACAGGTGCCCTCCATCCAAGGCTCAACTAGGCCAAGTCATTAAATTTCTAATAAACAAGACTTCGTAATATTCAACTTTTGCACATGTGCACGTTAATATCTTATTAGTAGGTGTATTATTCACAAGCTTTCTTACACGTACACAAGTTATACTTAACTACAACAATTGATAACATGGCTTTGTTTATGCCTCGAAATTGTAAAGAGTATGGTGTGGCCTTATATTGGCTTTGATTGGTCAATATCTTCATAACCACAACAACACTCAAAAGACTTCAAATCCCACAGCTCCCATTTCAGTTGGCATTCATCTGACTCTATAATTTCCCAAGAATGGGCCCATATTAA